GAGAGCCCTAGGACTGCGCTTCACCTCAGTCAATGAATCTCAGCAATGCATGGAAACATAAGTTTCGACTTTGCTGAATCTCGTGGCAATATTTGTTCTTAAAAAAGTTTAAAATATAGCGAAAACCAAGTTTTTCAAAAAGTAAGGCTTTCTGCCTGTCTTGACCTATTATAAAACTTCACTCAAACAACATCAGAACAAGTTCAAAACTTCAGGATGTAGAGTATTTGAGCTGTTTTATATTCTGTTTATAAGAAATCAACAAGAAACAATTTTAAAACCCTATACTTTTCCGAAACAGTTTCTAGAAAACCTCAGGACCAAAATATCATTTTTTAATTTTTTCCATTTCATAATCATGTTTAGCGGACAGAATTAACTATATCCTGGAGTTTTGGACTTGTTTTGATGTTTTTTGAGCGAATTGCGAACCCCTTAAGGGCCCCCCTCAGAAATGGTGATTTTCGGTCAAAATATCGGTTTTGAGATAAGCGCATGGGAAGATAGCCTGCAGTGTCTCCTTTCAGAATCTGTATCGCTTTTGGTTACAAAAGTGGTTTTTCCCGGATTTTGAGCAAGTTTTCTAGGAGCCTCGAAAAACCGGATCTTCAAATAATAGTTTTTTCCTGGATACTAATGCAATTAAAATTTTTCTACGATCGGATATATTTCTAACAAATAACGCAAAAAGAATTGAGTTCATGCATGATTTCTGAAGAGGATGGCTGATTTTCTTCCAAAGTGATAGTTTTGCAAAAGACTCGATTTTACAAAAAAAATTCATATTTGAAACGTTTTTGATTAAAAGTCAAGAACAAATCTAAAACTTTTACCAATGTTGATATCGACAGAGTTTTTGATCTGCTACATTTTGGTGTATTTTTTGTCCAAGTTTGATACATAGAGCTCGAAATAATTGAGAAATGCCAACTTTTCAAGTTGCAAAAAGGTTGCAAGGGCTTTTTCAGAAGTGTTTGGTTTTTGTCTTTTCCTCCTTCTCAGATTCGTTCTGGAAAAATATGTCTGATACAAAACTTATAGTTCAGACTTTGTTCTTTCCAACAAGAAAAAGTTTGATTGATTTGGAAGTCGACAATACGGTCTAACAGAGTTTGACATTATTGCCATTACTTTTGCACCATATGTTAGCCCGATCAAGATATTTGCTTTTTGTATATCCCGATCGAGATACAGTTTTCTTACAGTAGGACCGTAGTTTAAAACACTCAAAAACTAGCTAGCTATTAATGTGACACTTGTAGTGCAAAGGTGATATAGAACATAACATATCAGCGGCCACAATTTGAGTGATGAAAGCGCTTCAGCATTTTTACAACTTTAAACTTTCGAACGCTATTTACGCATCCAAAAACTTGTTTTATAAACAATGTTGTTTACGTCACGACGAATCACAGTGGATGATCTTGACTTTAACTAAACATTTACTGCATACAGCTACCTTATGCGTATCCAGAGTAAGAGAAAATATTAAGATATTTCGAGAAAGTGTTAAAAATAGTTAGTAAAAAAAGTAAAATATCCTGATCGGGATAAAGAATGTGACCCTCGAAAATTACTTAAAAAATCTTGGCAGGGTAACACCTATCGGTGCTAAAATGTGAAACTCATAATTATATCGTTATAGAATAAATCATCTTACTTTTCTACGATCAAGTAAGGTCTCGTTTCAGTTCGTGTGAAGGTATTTTTAAGATCGCGTAAAGGTATCATCGTCAGTCGCGTAAAACTTTTCAGAGCACGTAAAGGCTTTTTAAGATCTGATAGGAACTACTTTAAGAAAATGTAAGTTCATATGTAGGTTTAGGATCGTGGAAACAAGGGAATGATGGGTAAAAATTAAGACAAATACTCGGAGCTTTGGAGTATAAACTGAAGATCTTTCTTCTCGGTATGACATGAAGAATTTCACAAAAAGCTATTATTTTTAGGAGTATCCACGATGGCATCGTACTCGAACTGCATGACTTATTTTCGGACATACATTGCTGGTGCAAAATAAACTTTTTCTCATGGTAATCTGGCATATGCACCATCTGAGAGCAAAAAACTTAATGAAGACTATGGCTACACATTAGAATCCTCCAGAAAATGATCAAGGAGAAAAAAGTTATCCTCATGTAATCGTAGTAGAAAACTGAAATATGAACGCAGAGGCACCAGCAACTAAAGTCAGATTTAACATACAATCAAAAACCCATAGAGGGTAAAGATAAAGCAACGAGTGATATAACGTCGCGTGAAAGCACTGTAAAATCATGTAAAGTCAGCCTTCAGATGGTGTACATACACATCTAATTACAACTAAATGTCTCTAGATGTGCATGGCCTTAAGATGGCGTAATGGTCACTTTACGATCGTGTAAAGCACAATTTAAGATCGTGCACAGGCGCCATAGTTAGTCAAGTAAACATTTTCAGATCGCGTAAGGGTCTGTTTCAGATCCCATAAAGGCCATTTTAAGATCGTGTAAGAGTACTTTTTAAGTGTGTGTAAACAGGGGGGCGGAGGGAGGGGACGCCAAAATAATTAGTATTCGCCTGGTTTTTGAGTATTGAAACTCCCTCTACTTTGTAAGACAGGAGGAGTTTCACAAAAAGATGGCTGACTGGAAGAAAGACTTGATCACCAGGGAAAAAGAATCTGTAGAATATGACTTGCTACCATGAAAGAAAGATAAGAATGAAAAAAAGTTTGTCTGTAATTGTTTCTTCAATGAGCGATTGATCAGATTAAAATTGTACTATCTCAGGCTGTAGAGATTGAGACAAATTAGGGAGGTTCATTCTCATTCCAACCAAAGTTTGAAAAAATAAACAATTTAAAGACAAACTTTTTTTTTCTTTTTCGTTCTTCAAAAACACTACACATCATTCAAAAATAAAGTCGTAGTTTTCACGTACATAAAAAAATTTTCTAAATGAAATGGCATTCAAATCAACGTTCTGTCAACACATGTTTTATTAGTGATATAATAACAATACCTACGGTTGGAGGTGAATGAGCACTTAAAGATAAAATGCTTTCTTTCCTTCGTTTTCTTTTAAAATGTTTTTGGATAAAAAGCTGTATAAGTTCTGATTTTCACTTACATAATGGATATAATCAGTGAACATTGTACGACGATTCGAAATAAGGGACAAGAACTAACTGTTCAACATTTAAATGGTTTATATAATGAAATATTAATTCGTAAAGAAAAACATCATGCTGATATAAATTCAGTAATTCTATGTGAAACACTGTTAAATGCACTTGATACTGTTAACATAGAAAATATACTATGTCATCCGATTATATTAACACATACACTACATATTTTCATTATCGATACATTAAATGAAACATTGAAAAGATGGCAACAATCACCTGATAATATATCACATCGTCGAAAAACTGTATTTCATCATATAACAAATTTTCTATCGAACTTAATTGATAAAATTAATGAAAATAATTTGAAAAATTTTCAAATATTATTACTACATAATGAATTGATCTATACAATAAATAACATATTGATGAATATGGATCATCATGAGAAATATTTAAACAGTGATTTAGTACAATATTTTTCTACTGTAATTAAAATATTTACTAAATTAGTAACATTCAATACTACAACGGCGAAACTAACGTTGATATTAGATCCAATTGTGAAATTACATTTTTCCACAAAATACATTGAAGCTTTCAAGGCGCTCAGTCAGCGTACTCCAATGACGTCGAAACAAGAATTTTTACTAATTACATGTCCACTGTTTTTGTTTAATTATCAACCACAATGTGAATATTCCGAAGAAACAGAACAATTTTTAACATCAAAATCCGTTACCTACTTCACCGATATCTTTGAATATTTATTACCAACAATATCCGAATGGAATGAGCCTATTATCGTATCTATGTCTCATTTGATGAACATTCTCTATCGACTATATCAATTTAGTTCGATTAGTGGTTATGATCAATTAATTTCTTATTTAATTCAAATTTTAAATGATAATGATGCTTTTTCTTCAAAAACACAATTAAAAGATGCAACTCTAATGTTAATATTTAATTTAATAAAAAATTTTGCTCTATTAGCCGTCGTTAAACAACTAGAAAATGTTACACAAACATTCTTAACATTATTAACAAAAGGAAATGATAATCGTCTAGTATTATTTTCATATTTAATACTTGTTAATTTAGCGAAAGAGGATGTTTTAACAGTGCTGCCTGAAACAACAAAAATAATAGCTCTGTTTCCACCGTATTTGGAACAAGTTGTACAAAGAAAATGTCTTGAATGGCAAGGTGTGAACCTAGAAGATTTATTAAATGGTTTGAAAGGTAAGACGATCTGAGAGTTTTTGATAAAAATCAACATTCCCATCTAATTATAGTTTATTCAGAAGGAAAACTGCTTTAAGTGGGAGGGTCCTGTCGCTCGTTTCTTTTTACCGATTTGTAGAGAACAGTTTGAAATACTTATGGTAAAACGTTTTCTGTCATTGTACTTGTAGTTTTTAGGGAACCTTTTTTAAGTTTTTCAAACTTTTCCTCGTTTTTCTGCCGTATTCGTAAAATTTCAATAAAATTTTTGTTTTTCGAGAGATAAGCTTAAATTTTAAAAATTTTAAAAAAACCGCGGTAAATTTACTGCGGTAAAAAGTCTTTTACTGTTACCGATTTTTTGTCTCGGTAAAAAAACTATTACCGTTCATTTTTCCGGTAAATTTTTTTACCGTTGTCTCGTTTCAATAAATGTTGTTTGCTTCATAAAGGAATATAAAACAAAACTGAACGAGCATTAGAAAGAAAAACGATTGTTACAGACAGAGAATGCCAAGAAAAAAATCTCTTTTCTTTTCTTTGCTTTTCCATTTTATTTTGCCCGTAGTCAATCTGACTAGCAAAATAAAAGTGACTAAAACGTTTATTTATTGAACAGCACCAATTACTAGAATAAAAAATTAATAATAGATGCGGCTAACATGTTCAATTTTTAAATTGAACGTGTTAGTCGCATCTATTCGTAAATTATCTATTCTTAAATTTTCTATTTTTCTAAATCTATTCCTTGTATTTCCTTTCTTTTCTCGAGAAGAAATACCAGGTGATGAAGAGCTGTATTTCCTTTTTTCTTTAGTTCTTGCACAAAATGATAAAACTAGAAAAGCACTTGACAACAACAATTATTCATCCTCATTCGTACAATGTGCATTGAAAACGAGAAAGAATGAAAAAATTTTAAAGCTCATATTAGAAATACTATGGCTATTATCGTTTGATCCAGATATCGCTTCGTATCTACAACATCAAGATAAGTTTATGTCATTTGTAAAAACTATCAATAAGAAAAATTATTCATTGAGTGTTAAAGAAGCTGCCGAGGGTCTTCAATGGAAATTGGAAACAGAATTTACACTGATAAAAAAGTCAGATGAATTACGGCGACAACAAAAGAGAGTAGAAACGGAGCAAAGTGAGTATAATGCGTATGTTCTGGTGACTGTAAGCCAGGGTGATACAACCGAAAATGTTGATGTGTTTATTCCTTATGTCATCTATTCTAGCCTAAAATCCCACTATGTGCATTGAGTCAATGCACATAGTCAAAGAAGTCAATGCCATTGACTTCTTTTCTCTGAGAGCAGTGAGATTCTGCTATTGGAACACATAAACTAAAGTGTGCTTTAACTGTACCTACTGCAGGCGTCGACAGATGGCTCAAGTGTAGTTACCCAAGCAAAAAAAATGGAGCTAGAATCGGGCGGTTGGAGCTAGATAACACGGTTTTCGACCCGGTTAAGCTAGATCCATCTTAAAAAGTTTAACCTAGGATCGGGCGGTTCAACCTCCTTTGGGTGGTTGGGGAGGTTATAAGCTAGGTTAATCGACCGCTTAACCGACCGATCGAGCTAGCTCTACCTGATCTAGCTCCAACCGCCCACTTAACCGACTGGTTAAGCTAGTTTCTGGTATCAAA